ATATATATATATATATATATATATATATATATATATATATATATATATATATATATATATATATATATATATATATATATAAGAGGGACATGTTAAGGGAAAATCTCTCTAATTCTGTTGAGAGAAATTCTTTTAGGAAAATCCTCCCTCCTAATTTGTATAAATAGAAGAGGGACATGTTAATGTATTAAAGTTTCAGACTCTTGCTTTTTCACCTCTTCCTTCTCGGCCACTACAACAACAATTTGCTATTGTCTTATCCTACATCAAAGATTGATATCCTTGACACGAGTACAACAACGATCTCTTCTATTTATGCAGAAAGTGAAGATTTTTCTAGGATTTTTCTCAGAGGATTTTTCTCAATAGAGTGATTTCTTCATATAATTAAAAAAATCTTAGTTAAAAAAATCTTATCTATTATCAATAAATAAATAAAAATAAATATATATATATATATATAAGAAATCATTGTTATTTTGTATCTCAGTACACTAGAATTGTTACTACATATTTCATGGGTGTTGAAAGTCTTTTGATTTGTTGGGCGGCAATTGGATGACAAGACATTGCTACTCAATTCGAATTCGAACTCCGTAATTAGTTGGATCGTGCGTGAAGCGTCCCTTGTCGTGGCATTCTTGGGAAGCAAGTTTGACTCAAGGGTTTGGCCATGCGTGGCAATACATGGAGGGAAGTCAGATTCCATCAGTACACCTCTTCCTCTTATACAAGGCCGGTGGAGTCCGCCACAGCAGCGCACGCATCCACGTAAGTTTGACTCAGGGCTTGCGCGCAGAGAGAGAGAGAGAGAGGGGAATGGCGAACCTGTTCTGCAAGCAAGCGCAGAATTATGTGGAGACTCGGCCGAGTTACCCGGAAGATCTATTCCGGTTCATCGCATCCAAGACTCCCCAGCACGACCTGGCTTGGGATGTGGGCACCGGCAGCGGTCAGGCCGCCGTCTCCGTGAGTTCTCTCTCTCTCTCTCTCTCTCTCTCTCTCTCTCTCGTTCGCTCGCTCTCACAGGCCCAAATTGCTTCTTCAGCTAGCCAGGCTCTACAAGAGAGTGGTGGCGACGGACACGAGTCAGGAGCAACTCAGCTTCGCGCCCAGGCTCCCCAACATCGACTACCGCCACACGCCGCCCACCCTGTCGCCCACGGATCTGCACCAGCACGTGGCGCCGCCTTCGACCGTGGACCTGGTCTGCGTGGCCCAGGCGCTCCACTGGTTCGACCTCCCCACCTTCTACGACGGGGTCAACTCGGTCCTGGCCAAGCCCGGAGGCGTCCTCGCCGTGTGGTGCTATACCGAGCCCCGAGTCGACCCGGCGGTGGACACGGTGTTCTGGCGCCTGTACACCGAATCGGGCCGGTTCTGGGCAGCGGCACGACAGATGGTGGATGACGAGTACAGGAGCATGCTGTTCCCGTACGATCCGGTGGACGGGGAGGAAAGCACGGGGCCGTTTGAGTTCGCGGCGGAGCGGGCCATGGACATGGGGACGTATCTCACCTACATTAGGTCGTGGTCGGCGTATCAGACGGCTAAGGAAAGGGGAGTGGAGCTTTTGACGGATGAGATGGTGAGTGATCTTGAGAAGGCATGGGGTGGCGACGGGAAGGCGGTCAAGGTGGTCCGCTTCCCTATCTTCCTTAGGATTGGGAAAGTGAGGACCTAAAATTTCTGTGTCTCGATTTGGTGTTCCCTTTCAAGATTTTATAAGCAATAATAAAATCCCCTTTCTCAAAATTTCAAGACTTTTCAGTCGGTCTGCCCTCCCCAAATCCCTATTTTATTTTATTCTATTTCCGTTTTAGTTTGAAATTGGACAATATATTGGATTTTTAAATCGATTAAGGACTTGAAAAGATAATAAACTCGATCGGATTGATATATATATATTTTAAATTAAAATTAGTTCAGTTTAGTCCACACTGATTAACAAAATGAAACTGTTTAAATTGGAATACTTTATATTGTTCAAAATCAAATTATTGATGAATCGATTTTGAATATATTTAAATTAGATTTAATTTCAATTCAATTCAATTCAGTTTTCTACCTCCATTTTAATTGAATGAACATATGAAGATCCAGTCTTCCTTAATCTCTTCATTTTGATTTAATAATTTTTTTTTTTACACAACTATTCTTCTTGGACCATCCATCCTCTCCCATTTTTAGATTTTTTTTCTTTTGTATTTGTCACATTAACTATCACTTTAATCTAATGGCGTATTGTTGATAATATCAATTAGGTCATTGTTGATTAAATTAGTGATGTCAAAGTTGATCGAACGACTCAAGTCAAATCTATTATCTCATGCAAAATTAATAAATAATTGTGTTAGCGTTAGATTTAGTTATTCCAAAGCTGTAAATTCCTTTGATGGTTGAATAACTCAAACTTATTTAAGAAAATTTAGACTATGTGCCCCCTTTTATAGTGGGGGTTTGGAATTGTTATATTATCTATTACTCAACTTATGGAACGTAATAATCTATCATAACCATCATCCACATTTAGAATTGCTATACCCATTGATTACATCATTCGTACGATAATGGGTGAGCGAAGGTTGACCATAATCGTTCTCTAGCTTATGCTTATCGAAGGTAGCCACGCTGATGTGGTGATGATTGATCGTCTACGTGTCGACCAAGTGACTCGACCATATTGATTGCACATAGTTCGCTAATTAGGCATGTGAAAGTTTTATCCATTTATAGCCAAGAGCAAAGGGTCTAGGATAAATAATTAAGAGAGTTTCTCCCATCAAAGTCTCATGACAAATCATATTATAATTAGGCTTCCTTTCTATTGACTAATAACCGTTGTCAAGATTTAATTAAATATATATTATATCTTACTTAATTAGATAGGATAACATAATCTAATATTTTTTCACTTGATCCATTAATTGGTAAGATATAAAAGAAATTTAAAATTAAAATAATAAAATAAAATTTTATTTAAGAATAATTTTACCTAACTGGATTCTAAAATTTTTTTAAAAAGTATTTTATATATGGTTATGAATTTTAAAATAAGTCAATAAATCTAATAAGCACAATAATACTATATTAAGTCTAATTACCAATGCAAGTCATAGTAGTTATATGTCATCAATGTCATACTCTGTCCAACTACCAATGCGAGTTATAGTAGCTATATGTCATCAATGTCATACTCTTTTTTATGTACTATAATATTATTACAGTCTATAATGACCTTTATAATTTATCTTGTTAGGATAATCCTACTATATATATTCAATCATAATATATTTATATATAAATGTGAACAAGATAGTAAAAATAAATAACTTTAAATACGTAAACAAGAATACCAATTATAATGTCTACTCAAACATGTATCACTATATCTTTTATGGGTTGCTCACAAACCCAATCATAAAAATATGTTCTTTAAAAAATTTTAGGTTGTAAGTCCTAAGTGAATAGATGCAATCAATATAGTTGAACTTATATTCTTAATTGATATTAATTGATTCTAAACTCTTTGTCTTTAACCATCAAGTGCTTTATACTATAATGTATAGAACTACTAGAGTATTTAGTATTTTTAGAGAAGAAAACTGCTATAGTAAGTCACAAAATATCTTCAACCACTTGACAATTGAGTTTAACCACATCAAGTCCTATGATAAAATTTTACAATCTTCCGGGTACTAGTGGATTCAAACTTGGAGCCTAAAAGTGTCTCATCCTGAATCTTCCGGGTACTAGTGGTACCACTGCCTACAGCACTGATACTGACATTGACATTGGGAAGTACCACAACCTAGTCTAGTGGTACCATTGCTTGACACCTTGCCACTGGACGGTACCACCACCTGCTAGTTTCTCGGAGATTGAGTCTAGGTGGTACCACCGCCCAAACTAGTGGTACCACTACCTGACGTAGTCTCGGATATTGTGTCATGACGGTTCCACCTGTTGGGTCACTGTTTGGGCCTTTCACTTGGCCTAACACAACCCAGACTTGGGCCTAACTGGCCCCTAATTGTGTTGGCTCAATTCCAACCCAATTATGCCTAAAACCTACTTCGATCTAGACAATTATTACAAAGCAAATCAAATATTGTCCAGCATGTCATTGGTTCATCGACACCTCGTCCGATTCTTCAGTGCATCATCCTCTCTTGCGGTCTATTACCCAATCGGTTAGTTGACCTCTATAACTTTGATTTCCTTGGCGTAATTTTCATTTTTCTTGGTCCGATGCCTGATCCCATGGCCCGAGGCCTTCTATCGATATGTTGATCGATCCTCTGACTCAACGTCCAATCTTTTAACATATTTTACTCTGGCCCAACATGATTCTTCCTGTTTTAATTATCTTTCTTGATCGAAGCTAGTCTTACGTCACTCAAAATACAGATCAAATCATAAACACTATCAATTGGTTTCATTATCAAAATCTAAGATTCAACAATCTCCCCCTTTTGATGATGACAACCAATTGATGATGGAGTTAACCTTAACTCCCCTATCAATATGTCATATTGATAGAACCTTGAATTCAACTTGAATTCAAGTTAAAGTAAATTTAATCATAAATATTTATAATATTTGATCATAAAATCATGCATAATCAAAATTTCAATACCTTATTCTATGCATGATTGTCATCATAACTTCTCCCCCCCTTTGTCATCAACAAAAAGGAGAAGTGCAATTAGCAAGTTTATAGACATAATTTCAAATCATTGCATTTATCATCATGTAAGCTAGCAAGTTTTTTTTTTTGTAAAATTTTTACACTTTTTGATATATGCAAGATAGCAAGTTTTTGCATCTACTTGAAATATGTAAGCTAGCTAGCAAGCTAGCAAACTCCCTTTAAATGTGCAAGATAGTATGTTTTTCTCTTTTGAGAAGTATAATTTTTTGCTTCCTTTGCAAAGCATAATTTAGCAAAATTTTACATCATTTTATAACATGCAAGCTAGCAATTTGATAAGTATTACTTCTTTGAAGGCTAGCAAGTTTTTAAAAAAGAATGCAAGATAGCAAGATAGCAAATGCATCATTTTAGAATATACAAGCTAGCGAATTTTACTCCCCCTTTGTCATTGTCTAATAGAAGGGAAAAATACAATGTTGTAATTCTTTTCTCTTTACTTCAATCTTCAAATTATGATAAAGATAAATAATCATTCTTATTTCAATATATTTGTGCATAATTATAGTTTAAAATTAAAATATGCATAATTTCAAAGCCTTACATTTTCTCCTTACTTTATACATGATACCAAAAATAAATCAATCATTACTATGGGCATATCATACATGATACTAAAGCATTCATGATACATCATTTTGGACATAACATTTGTGATGCTAAAATTTTTAAGTATTTATCACTTCATGTATTAAATCAACATTTTGATCATGATACCAAACATTCATCATTTATTTTCTCCCCCTTTGTCATAGGCAAAAAGAGGGGAATAACACAAAGGTGTAAATATT